AAATGAGGACTATATAAAATCCGTAGGCTAGATTTCTGATAGTAATCAAAAAAGGCATAACTAGTCTGCCAAGGTTTGAAATTTTTGTCTCTAGCATGAAAATCTTTTTTCCCCTAAAAAATCTGTTTAGAATGGAAACTAATGTCATTTGTTTTGACCACTGTTATGGTTATTTGATAGATGAGCAATAAAAGCATTGAGGTAATGAAAAACAAATTTTATACATATTCTGCAATTTACTGGCAAGATTTAATTAATAAAAATATTGATAGGCAGAACATACTAATAAATTTTTGCTGGGGTGATTGGGACATAAGCCTGTCCTCAGATACAGGATTTATGCAGACAATCAAAGACTCAGTGGAAATTCCATAACATTTTAGACATAATTAGAAATAAATGTAAAGTGCAGAAAATCTATTTTATGGAATCAACTGTATTGTAGAACTGATGGTACAATAATTGACTTGCACAGAAAAACTGTTAATTGAAACTGTTAATTGAAAAGAAACTGTTAATTGAAAACCAATAAATGATAGCTAACTTTAATGATACAATGAACTTACATCAACATGAGTCCTCAGATGAATTTTAGACCTATGATTGTATAAAATCCAGGTTCTTGACTTCCGCTGATAATAGGTTTTCAGTAAAGGTCGGGCAACTCAAAACTTTTCAAATTATTGAAACCATAACGGCTCCATCAGCCCACTGAAGCTTATTTTTCTCTTGGGGTAGACTCTTGAGGCAGCTATTGCCAGAGGTCTCAATTCCGCAATCACGGAGATCTGATTTTAACAGTGCACCTCTAGTTGAGCACATTATTAGGGAGGGACTTGTGGTAACTAAAGTCACCAGAAGCTTCTTCTTCTTCTCATCCAAGTTTTTGGGAGGTTGACTTCTGCATGAGACAGTTGTGTAGAATCTGTCCCAGAGCCAGAAGACACAGTCTTGGGGGTATTTTTGGACATCAGTTTATTGCTCTCCTTGGGAGGTACTATATAAACACAGCTGAAAATTCTTGTTCTTTGGGCTCCCCATTTCTAGAACGTTCTGTATACGGACTATACCATCAGATGTCGATTTTTTTTTTTACTCTAATCATCTTTATATCTGATCTGGATACTGATTCTAAATCTCCACAGCAACATATGTCATTCCTTTTCTCTGAGTTCCAACTGCTGCTCCCTGTTTATAGATCTGCGGCCCTCCACTCCCGGTGAAATAAACACTAATTATGCTGCACCCTAACTATATGTTTACCTTCTCCTTGCCTGGAACAAAAAGCTCCTTGAAGGCAGGGATAATTTTTAATTTGTGTCCCATACCCAGATATTGCCTGGTATAAGATGTATGCTTAAAAAATATTTGTAGAATGAGTAAATGAACAGACATCTTTGGCTACTTTCATGTATGTAGCCAAACTATTTTCGCTCAGAGAAAGTGACTTTGCAAATTTTAATGAAAACTTACACCTATTATGTACTAAGGGATCCACTTTGCACCACCTAAAGATATATGCTTCCTAAGGTGGTAAATTTTTGGCTGCTTTTCAAACTGGACTTACTTGATCCTTTGGTTATCTTTCCTGGACGATGGGCTAAAATGTAACAAATCACCCATCACTCCCAATATCTGTCCTTCATCTTACCATATAGATATGTTCTGAAATTAAATATATACCTGAGACTGGCAGATGCATGCCCCTGAACAAATTATATCCATTTAGACTTCTGTCCTTAAAAATAAAATGGGCTCTTCCACTTTTTCATCTCATTTTCACCCCATGCTGAAAATCAACTTGATTTCAAATTAATGGAAACTGAAATGTTTGAACAGGAGGTTAATTGCTAGCTACAATGAGCAAATGTAATAGAAGTAATAACAGCTTTTGAAATGCCAGATAACTGCTGGCAAACAGAAAAGATTATCTTTGAGTAATTTGGAGGGGAGAGGAGTCAATTTTAATAGTAATATTGGATTTTTAAAAGTCCTAGTAAAGAATTCAGCTGTCATCCTTATTATGGAAATTAATCCTACTGTGAAAATTAGCTGAGCACTGAAGTGGTAACCAAGTAATTTTTTAGGCGAAGAAAACATTATATTCACAAATATAAGTTACACCAAATATTGTAGACATTACAGATGTATTTATAAAATATATTATATTGTTCACTTCTCAATATAATTACCAAATACGTAGTTTATATAAAACATGCAGACATTTAAAATCTACTTGAGTTCTAATCCTGATTTTGTTACAATAGTAAAATTAAAATCATGCAACTCACTAAAACGCCATAATTTATGAGAGTCCTATTATCTGCTGTATTTTTAATTATAAGACTAAGTTTTTAGTTTAAAATTTTTATAAAAATTGTGTACCTATTTATCAGTTGAGTTTATTTTTATGCCATAAATCATTACTTGTTCAAACATATTTATTGAAGAGTTTTAAGTCAAGAAAGCCATAAGTATTTCACTAGTTATACAAATATCTGAAACTATATGTACACACATATAAAAATACATGTAAATATCAATTCATCTGAATTATTCTCCAATTTAAGATCTCATCAGAGGACAACAATGATTTAATACTGAATTAGAAGGTAGCACAACAATAAAAACGTAAGTCACATGTCATTTCCCTTTGCCAAGTTTAACAAAGTAGATGGAGAGAGAAGAAAAGCAGTGACACATAATGATAATAACAATATTTTATATGTATTAAGGCCAAATTAGGCTCAGTTATTCACATGAGGAGTTAGAGGAAAGGGGGTATAAAATAAGCCTAGCACTCCGCCTGGTTAAGAGGTATTTTCTTTTTTAAAGGCATTTTTTCAGACGAAAGACAGCTGAGAGACACTAGACATCTTAGTACCCCTGTCTTCTGGTCCTTACCACATTTGTGGGGAACACCCAACTTCAGAGCTACACTTTCCTTCCTTGAGCTTCAGCCTCAGAAAAGAGTTGTAAAATGACAGGCTCCAGGAATAAACATTGCACTGGCTCCTTTGTTTTAGAAGAAAGGCAAAGAATGTGAGGTTTTCGGTCATTTCTGTCGAGGAAACCAGATCAAAGGGGACAAACAGAGAGGGCCAGATCACATCAGTGCGAGGAAACCACGTCTCCACCAAAGCATCCCAGGCTCTTGGCAAGACTTGTCCCCGAGGGCGTCTCCAAAATCACGACAGTGTCTGGCTAGGTGGGCAGAGTGTTTTGGAAAGACTTCCAAAAGCGGCGCGAGGCAAGAGGAGGGCAGAAAGGCTCTTTTCCTCCAAGACACACCTTGCAAAGCGGAGCACTTGGTCCCTGCCTTCCTCTGGCACATCTACTGCCGCAATCAAGATGTTAGCAGAGTTGCCACGTTGCCTTCCTATTCAAAGGCATATACATCCGAGGGTGCAAGGGGACTGCTGCCTCCCAATGAGTAAAAGTCGGTGATTAACGCATAAAAACTAGTTTTGTATTGCACGAGACCCGTTTCTGCACGCCTCCTGCACCCAGCACTGACTTCCAAGACGCTTTTCAACTTCTTACTAACATCTAACTCGATCAAAAGCTTTCATCTGCACTTTGTGTACAATAGTTCAATTTTCCCAGTAAAATAATGCAGACCCGGCTCTCTGAGTGAAAACATTAATAAAGAACACTTGAGAGATTTTGCGAGGTAAGATTAACAATCATTTCCGTTCAAAATAAGTAAGAGAGGTTATAACTAACTATTTTAGAGTGGCCATATGAATGAGCTTCGGGTTCGGCTTTAGAGATCTAGAGATGAGTGTTTAAAAAATTTTTTTAAAGAACAAAAGCAGTCACGTTATACATACAATGTGTGCGTGTGTGTGCAGACACACATTTAAAAAGAAATAATAATAAAGTTAAAGATTCTTTTGCCTGGCTTGTCACCTCAGCACGTGTCAGGGCTCTCTGGTTTCCAGGACCCGCTCCTCTCTCCCTGCTCCTTCATCCCCACCTTTACCCTCATATAAGGCCCGCAGCTTCCTCCCTGCCTGTCCGTGGACCCTTCCCCTATCCGCATCCAGGGATTTCCCGCTCCACGTGGCCAGGCCACCCGCACAGCCCCCAGTTCCACGTCTCACCACTTTCTTCCTCAACGTCCCAGGCCCCGACGCAGCCACCCGCGTTCCTTCCTCTTCCTGGGACACTATCTCGGCGTTCCCGGCCCCGCTTCTTGCCCTAGCTGCCGGAACCCGTCCGAGGAGACCTCCTGTGGGGAGCGCCAACGCCACGTGCAACCCTAAAACCCAAACTCCCGTCTCCCCGCCCGCCGGGGCCACGTGCACAGGAATCCCGGCAGGCCAGGCGCGGCTTCTGGCGCGCAAAGACCCAAAATGCCCGAAGACGCGCCACCACCGTGGCCTCGGAGGCCCCGGCTCGAACTTGGGGCCGGCCCGCTGCCTTTCTGGCCTCTCCCTAGATGGAAGTGTAGGTGTGTGAGCCGGGGAAGGAGAGCGAGCCGGGCCCTCGGGCGGGCGCGG